TTGTCCCTCCCGGTTGCTAGCTGTTCCTATTCATTTCCTTCCTGCTGCTCAGGTTCCCCTCTGTTCCCACCATGCCTCACAACCATCCTAGCTCTTGGGCCATCTAGTCTCTCTGGGTCTGTTGTACAGTTTGCTTAAATTTTGGAGGGACAGAAAGGGATCATGGAGACGCCCTCTCTCCTTTGCGAGACCAGTCATGTCTCAAAGAGTATGTCCAATCCAGGATCTAATTTTCCTGGAGAGTAAGGGTCCTTCAAAGTTCCTAGTACATATACCAGACTTCATGTAATAAGTGTTACTAAAATTTAATTTACATTTTTCCAAATGCACTATTTTATAGAATCCTATCATGAAGCCATTTGGATGCTAAGAATTCATTTTGGTACAAATAATCACACCATAATTTACCTGCTCAGTAGGCTCTAATTTTCTTAAGATAGAAATGAAGGTCATTGGTGATTATCGTTGGGAAGCTCTTTAATATTTAAAAGAAAGTGAAACACAAAATATCCTTGAAAGTGGGCAAAGAATGACAATTCACCCTCTAAAAAGTGCTACAGGTAATTCTGGTTTCAGTAAATGTTGAATGACCAAAATACCAACAGTCATCTCCAGTATCCATCTTAATGGGTGGAGTGAGGACATTACTACTATTTTAATAGATGGAGGACATGTAGCAGGTTCTAGTATTTTTCCACACAGTGGATAATAAATTGTTTCATAGATCATAAATTTTAGAATTATCTGTATCAAATCCTTCATTTTGTTATAAATAATCTGAAGCATGTACTTTTGCCATTTGAAAATATTCAGTGATTTAACTTACTTTCTTATTAATGACTTGTATGGACCAGTTTATATTACCAAGTTTTTAGGGGCTACAAAGTAAGGAGGTCTGTTAAGCAATTTGAATTTTAAATTTTGTCAAAATGCACAAACAGCAATAACCCACAAAGAAATGACCAAAAAAAGCAAAGGTGCAGTCATCTGATTTTCATGACAGTTTAAATAGTGAAAGTCAATTGAAATGAATGTTCTCTTAATTTTAGAAATGAAGAACATTTGTAAATATTAGAAAAAGCTAAATATTTGGAACTGCTTTTTGATTATTATTTTTTTTCTGTGACTCCAGAATTCCTTGGTGAAAATTGAAAAGATTATCATCAGACTGTTCTGTGTAGTAGAAGAAATACTGAATTTGGGCTTAGATTGAAACTCTAACTGTGCTATTCACATGCTGCTGAAGTGCTGTTTGGGGCCACTCGAGCCCCCAGTTTCTCATTTGTAGAAGGCGAGGGTAAAAATAACTGCTTCGTGCAAGGGTGGTTAGCATGGTGTTAGCTAATCTATATGTGAATTGTGAGTAACCACACAGAAGTAGTTATTACATAAATCCAAAACCCTGGACTTGAGCTGGGTAGAATTCTTAGACTGTTAGAATAGAAGGAAAATTATGGCGATCATTTACTCCATGGACTTGATGATTGGATGAGGAAGGAGAGATTCAGGGACGTGAAGTGATGTCCCCAAGGTCTCGTAGTGAGCTAAGTCTCCCAACTCTATACGGTTATTCTTTTTCCTATCTCAATTCTTGGCCTTACTCTTATTCCTCCCCCATCTTTCTGAATGAACATTTAGGAGTATGTTGAAAGAAAAAGAGAAATGGGATTTTTCAAGCTGTATTTTTACGAGTTACTCATTTTCCCCCTGAAAATAGAATTGTGTTTTTACATAAAGGAACATAAAATGCTATTTTACATATGGAAAGTGAAAGATGAGAAAGCTTTCCCCAAACCTATCAGACTATCAAAACTGTAGAATCCCTAAAAATGTCTTCAGGTTATATCTTTTTAAAATTTGGATTTTTAGTTAAATTTTTATCTCATTAAAAATTAGATCTGGAGGGGAGGGCTGGGTGGGTGGGTTGGAATGAGAGTAAAGGATAGAAAATTGTACTGTAACAACAATTAAAATAAAATTTTAAAAAATTAGATCTGGAGCAGTAGCAGTTTCCAACACTCAGAATACTGTGATGAATTGAATGTAGTTTATACCTCACTAATGTGAGGAACAGTTTAGGCTAGAAATAACATACCCTCAGAGCCTACTAAGCCATTACTGGGACATTTATTGAGATTTTGAATGCTTTTAAATTATATCCTAACTTGGAGTTTTAATTTGTTGAGTTCCCTAAAACTTAGCTCAAAAAGATTCAAAGGATTTTTTTCATATATTCTCATTCAAATAATGAATTTTCCAGGAACACATTCCTAAGCTGCTGTAACTGTGTGTCAGGTGCTGTGTGGCTCTCAGAGTCCGAGGACCCCACAGTCTCTCTGACGCTGCACGTGGTGCTTGAGAGATCTTCGGCTTTATAACCCTGCGCAGACGGGACGCTGTAGCAAAGCCTCACTAGTCAAGATGCATTACTCCTCACTTAGATTATTAAATTTCCAAGAACAAATTGTAATTTTTTAATCTTAGTAGTTTTAGGAAAATCTACAGCTCCTTTGCAGTAGTCTGTGACTGAATGTACTGAATAATCCAGTTAAGGGCACACACTTCTGAAAGCAAAAAAGGTATAATAAATATTCAAGTTGGCTGCCTTTCATGTTTTGTGTGGAAAAAAACGTGTTTTATTGAGAAAGCCAAGTTAATTTTTTTGTGAGAAAGTGGAATCATTTGGACAGATTATTTTCTTAAGAGGGAGTGTATCCATTTTATTTTGGAACAGAGTGGGCTAAGAAAATTACAAACAGTGGTTTCACTGATCTTGCTTTTCTTTTTCATCTTATTAAATTCTCCAGTAACTCTTGTGTTACTCAGAGGGTTGCTATTTTCTTTTTATCTTTAAACATTTTTGTGTTGCTTTGAAGAATTCACAATAATTTAGTTTCACATTGTTTTTGCATTACAAGTGTAGCTAATGTCCAAAATGAATGGAGTATTATAGTCTTAGCACTGGATGTACAGCTTACAAAGAACCTTTGTGAGCTGATTTTAGCAGTATTTTCTAAGGACTTCTGCCAGAAACAAACAAAAAATCCACATGTCTTAATATCAGCCTTTTATTTTGAATGCTTCAGCTGTGTTTAAAATCTTCAAGTTACAGCCTTTTAAAACATTTCTTATATCTAGATATAGCTTCACAATGAAAATTATATTTGCTGTTTGAGTTATGCTTTCCTATTTCTACCTTCTCATCCACAGACATGTAGAATTTATTTCAATAACTTAATTCTCGATACATGCTGTTAAAATTGTATTACAACACTTTCACCACAAAGCTCCATTGAATATCAGGAAGATATGCTAGACTCCAGTTTGAGATTTCAGGCCTTTAAACAGGCTAGGAATACTTTGGATTTATTCCCACGTACAGGAGTCTGACGGATACTGTTTCATCACAGGTTTCCAAAATTAATGCCGCTCATTCAGCTGCGAAAAGTGGCTCTCCTTAAAAATTATTACTTCATCTTACCCTAGCTTCATAGATAGGCTAGAGCCCATTTACTCCATAATAATTTTTAACAAATTGTCCTTTTAGTACTTTTCAGAATGTTTGGATTGATGATAAAATAATTCATTTTGCTGTCCAACATAACAAACTAAGATTTTTCTGAATCTGCAGCTGCTTCTGTGGAAACCAGTCATGCAGTCCTACGTGTAGTGCAGAAATACGGAAAACCAGTGTCTCAGGGCAGAATTTACTATGATGATTTTGGAAAATCAAGACATCCATGAAACAGGCATGGGGAAACTGACATTAAGTGCCTGCTCTGTGCCTGTTGCTATGTAGGACAGTTCTATATCATTTCTCTTGAAGCAGAGAAACTAAATTACTGAGAGTACCCACACACTCTCAACACACACACATAGATTTAGGGATGATGTGAACATAGAAATGGGGATATTTTACAAATGAATGCAAATGCAAAAGCTAAAATTGGTTACTGAAGTTGTACAGCCAATAAATACGTGATGCTGGAAGGATTCTTTTAGCTCCAAGAACTTAAGCAACTTTTGGTTGAGGAGAACAGAATTAGAATAGGGTGGAATGCAGTCAGTCCCAGGGCGTGGATGCAGATGGGTGAAATACCCAGTCCAAAGGCCACTTGCCCTGATGTGGCCTCAAACCAGTGAAGACATATTGGCCCCTTTGAAGAGCCAGGTTTTTCTGTTCCCCTATAAAATAGCTCCTTTTGTGATGTTGCAAATGATAATGAGTAAGATTAGCAAGGTACATTAATGCTGGATTGCGTAGTCACTTTTGCAGTTTGAATACCCATGCTGCAAAGTACTCAGGGTATTTATTCCCTGGGTAGAAGACAGTCTGGCTCACACAGTGAAGTCCACTCAGGGCACCTGGATCGTGGTATAGATGCCGCATTTTAGTGTCTGATTACCTGCTTTTTAGCTTATAAATTTGAAGTAGTAAATATATATCTGAATGGACTCCAGGGGATGGAACTATTCTAACCAAATTCACAAACCAGAATACCAGTTTATTATTACTACCAAGAAAAATATTACTATCCTGTGATCTGGTTCCCCTTGTGCATACTAACAGCATTGTATTAGTCTTCTAGGGCTACCATGGACTGGTTGACTTAAACAACAGAAATTTATTTTCTCACAGCTCTGGAGTCTGGAAATCTAAAATTGAGGAGCTGATGGTTGGTTTCTGATGAGGCCTCTCTTTCTGACTTGTAGACAGCTGCTTGCCTGTGTCCTCACATGGCCTTTCCTCTGGGTGCCTGCAGAGAGACAGGTGTCTGGTGTCTCATCTGTCTTCTAAGGACACCGGTTCTATTGGATTAGGGCCCCACCCTTAGGGTCTCATTTAACCTCAACTACTGCAACTACGAATAAAGTAAACACCGTGTTCTAATTGCATGCTTGGTATTACTGCCACATTGTGTCTCTATTCAGGTTTATTTAGTCACAGGTGCAAAGCAGAATTATGTAATGTATCACTGGATTTTATTTTGCCTTATTAGCTCCTCAAGAGTTATTGATCTATGAAATGGCAGAGAATGGAAAAAATTGTGACCAGAGACGTGTAGCAATGAACAAGGAACAATATAATGGAAAATTCACAGGTAAAGTATGGTGGCTTGGAGGGAGAGGATCGATGGGTTTAGATGCTATCCTCTTCATTGGAATAAAATAGAAATATATCTATTTGTTATTTTGATAGTAAAATAATACTCTATATAATAATAAAAGATTCTTATATATCTTATATAAGATTAATGATATTTTGTTGCTCTTCTTTGTAAATTAAATTATGGGTCAGGGCCTATAAGGTGATTTTTTTCATGCTGGTAACAGAAGTAGCCTGGCTACTATTACATTTAGTATTCTAGGTAAAAGATTATTATTTGTTAATCTTATAATATGAAGAGTATTTATTTGGCCCTGGCTGGTGTGGCTCAGTGGATTGAGCGCCAACCTGCAGACTGAAAGGTGGCCAGTTCCATTCCTAGTCAGGGCACATGCCTGGGTTGCAGGTCAGCACCCATTTGGGTGTGTGAGAGAGGCAACTGATTGCTTCTCTCCTTTTCTTTCTCCTTCATTTTCCCTCTCTCTAAAAATAAGTAAATAAAATCTTCTAAAAAATCTTTTAAAAACAGTTTTTATTTGGTGCCCAATTTTATCATGCTATTTTATAACTTTAGAGATAGATTATAAATGTACTGTGTACACTAACCCTAAATTATACAGCTATCAAAAAAGTCAGAATTTGATTATTGTGGACTTATTTCAAAATCTTGAGACAAATTTATATTTTAACCAAATTTGAAATTTGTGGGGTAAATTGCAGCATATTTCACTCTTATCATACATTTACCCTGAAAATTACAATTTACCCTGAAAATTACTATTTATATAGATGACTTAATAAGAAACTTTCCTTTGTGTGTTAAAGGACAATAAAAGGTTTTCTTTTTAGCTTCTAAACTGTTTGGTGTCTCAAACACATCACACTTATACTCCAGGATGGTAACATAATTATATCAGAAAGTTTCTTCTATAAAAGAAGTGTAAGCTACCTGAAATAGTTTCCATGTGTTTGTTTTGATCACTGCATGGCCTTGCAGGACACATTTTGCAGCACTTACCTGATTTCTGGATTACTTTGATTGCAGATCAATTTTACATTGTTTCACTAAGAGTTTCAGAATTCAGACTCAGAGATGGGCATTGTATATGTCATAGTCTCTTCCCCTTAGTAGCTTTTACATGGTTTTTTGTCCTTTCAACAAGCATGTAACGTTTATACATGCTTCCCCTACTATTCCACCCCCTGAAATTTACAATTAATGTTTGTATGACATACCCTTCTTTACCATGGGTTTTATTTTTTTACTAAATATTTCTTATAGGTTGTGCTGCAACTGTACATAGGAACTTACTGTTTATTAAGGCTGCTTAGTGCTCCATGGTATAAGCATACCATACTTCAATCACTCCCCTGTCCTCTGCTGGTAGCATTTCAGTTGTTTATATAGTCTTTGGCTAGGACAAATAATGCTTCATTGAATAAGCTCGTACAAAAGTCATTTCTCCTTATACCTAATCATTCTTAGAAATGGAATTATTGGGCTACAGGGTACAGTAGTCCCCCCTTATCTATGGGGGTTACCTTCCAAGGTCCCCTGAGGATGCCTGAAACCATGGATAGTACCAAACCCTATATGTACTGTTTTTTTCCACACATTCATATACTTTATGGCTTCCCTTTGGCATACAAATCCTTAGCATCACTAGTCTTGTGCTTTGGGGCTAATGTCAAGTAAAATAAGAATTACTTGAACACAAGCACAGTGATAACCACAGTAGTCCATCTGATAACAGAGATAGCTCTGAAGTGACTGGTGACAGGGAGCAGAGACAGCATGGTCAGTGCCAGACTTCATTGTATTACTCAGAACAGCGCACAGTTTAAACATATGAATTACAAACAAACAAACAAAACCCAGAAAAAACCCTGCTCCCTAGCTACACAAAAATGCCCTACTTTTTCTTTTGGGGGGATGGTTCTGAGAGATCTTACTCTCTTGTCCTCTTGCCTCAGCCCAATCAAATAAATATTTCCTCTATCTCCAAAAAACCCCCAAAACCCCAAACATATGAATTGTTTCTTTCTGGAATCAGACCAGGGTTGACCATGGGTACTGAAAGTGGAACCACATATAAGATGGGGCTACTCTATGCATTTGCAATTTTGATAGATGATGACAGTACTTCTGAGAGCTTTACATATATTGATTCATTTAATCTTTATAATGACCCTATAATGTAAGTACTCTTTTAATCTTGGTTTCAAAGAAGAGAGCACTGAGGACCAGAGAGGTTAACCAATTCGCCCAAGTTCACATGACTAGGGAGTGCTGAGACCAGGATTTGGAACCAAGTAGTTTGCCTTCACATTTTGAGCTCTAACCTACTTTGCTCCACAGTACGATGCTAAATTGCACTTCATAGGGGTGGGATAATTTAGTATTCCAGTAATGTACATAAGATAAACTTGTGTCCTAACAATACAATAATTGCATGAAGAACAAAACAGAAGCGCCTCGCCCATCGTCACAATGGGAGCCACATTGTTGAGGTTTATACACAGTCCTTCAGATGTGGGATGGGAATGTGGATGAATTTCGAAAGTGATTGGAAACAGTGAGCATTTTGTTTTAACTTCTGCACTAATGTTTTTCAGACCTCTCTTCAGTGAATGAAAAGAAGAAGAGGGATCGGGAAGAAAGGCAGAATATTGTCCTGTGGAAACAGCCACTCATTACCTTGCAGTATTTTTCTCTGGAAATCCTAGCAATCTTGAAGGAATGGACCTCAAAGTAAAGAGTCTTCCATTATCTTTTATATAAGTCTTGTTTACTAACAACAAGCCCCTACTCCCTGCCACCTACTTTATCAAATTGGTTAAATTTAGAATGTGATGGGGACATACTTATTTTCCTTACATATAGTTTGAAGAAAAACAGGTTAAGGGAACATAATGCTATTGGCTCACTGGGCTACTTGCAGTTGGCCCCTGTCTCATGTTGAATCTTTTATGCAAAGCAGAATACTGAAAATGAGATTTTTTTTTCCTGGCTTTACTTTAAGGAGAAAGACCTGTGTACATTGGATACACTGATTCTTTAGTAGAGCAAGGGTCAGGGTACAGGGCACTGGTGCTGGTAGTTTCAGCCAATGAGAAGAGACTCTGCCAAGGAAATGTGTTCAACTTTAATTAAGTACTTGTAAGCCCTATTTCAGATACCATAAAGAGCAAGTTGAACTATACATGCCTTATCATTTTTGGCTTGCCTTTCCAAGGTATTATCTGTAAGATGTTGGAATTTTATTGTACTTACAATTTATAAAACATTTGGTAACATTTTTTAGTTCATTTGATCCTTAAAGCAACTCCACAGAGAAGGTAAAACACGTATATGATTATCATGATTTTAAAAACAAGAAAACAGGAAACGATCATATTGTTTAAGTGTCTTACTCAAAGTACAATATGTAAGGGACTTGGGATCCTGACCCAAGTCTTCTGACTTGAAAGCCATCACTCTTTCCGTTATATTAGAACGCTTCTACCTAGAAGTTTGGTGTGGACAGGACCAGTCTTCGGATGAGGGAAAGAAATTGGGCTCTGTACCCATGTATCTTCCTTTGACCCCCTTCCACACCCCAAGGAACCATAGAGTTCAAGGACACAGAGCTCATCCCAGAAGGAATGGGTTCTGTAGCTGAGCCAAGTAACCTAACTGCTTCAACAGGAAATTGTTTTTGAGAATGATGAATCCTGAAAATGAACTGAGATATTTCATTTATTTTTTTAAATATGTTTTTAAGATTATGGCATCGTCAGAACACTGTGGTGTCTTGTTTACTGCTGCTTGCTGTGCTTATAGCTGCGTATTGTGTTGAAGGAGCACATCAACAGGTAAGAGGTTCGGTCACTTTGTTTCTGTCCTCGTACCTTCCCATATCCCAGTTTCGAATGGGACTGTGGAGGACTACGTAGAATTTCTACTCTCACATTTTTAGGCTTGGTTTCACTTTTTAAATTTATCTCATAATTGGTTTCTTAATGTACTTTTAAGGCCAAATATTTAAAATATTCTTGTGGCAGTTCATGGCTGCTCAGCATTTCTGTTTGGTATAGATCATCCCTTTTCAGCTTCAAGGATTCAAGTGTAATTTTCCCGACAGTATGTAGTCAAAGCATCATGAATCCTCTACTTGCTACCAAAGTCTTCGAACCTTCTTGAACACCTCTCTGTGATCCATCCAGACAGATGCACTCATCCTAGAGTGAAGGTTAGGCTTTATGTATATAAAAAGGGTAGTTCATTTGCCTATCATCTGTAAGTACAACATAAGTGAAGGGAAAATGAGACATTTTGTTAATAACTTTTGTTAAAATAGCAAAACATTAGTGTATTCTAATAGGATATAGTTCTAAAATGTATCATTTCATATTTTAAAGCAGTTTATCTCTAATCTCGGACATTTTTTATAGTTTTAAATACATTTTTAAAAATATTTTAAAGAAATCTGAGTGCGCTATTAAGAACCTGTAGGGAACTTGGCTTGATGAATTTACCTGCCAGCGTGAGAACCCAGACTTCAGTCTGGCATTCCTCCATAAGGTCATATCCCAATGGATGTAAATTTGCTCCTGTTTGAAAAGCATCTTGATCTTAAATACACTAAAAATTTTATCCTCATTTTTTACTCAGATAAATAAAAATGTATTCTATTCACAAATATTACAGAAATAACTGCTCCCCTCTTACCACTGTGTCTTAAAGTTTTTGTGACTTTTAAATATCTTGAAAAATTTTATTTTTATAATTATTTATGAGTAACTAGCATTTTTCCTATAAATATCATTGCAGTAGTAGGATTTTTAGGGTCTAGAAACAAGAGCTTTATTTCAATTAATGAATTTTTTTGCCATCTCTGCTATTGCACATTAAAGGAATTAGTCCCCTTCAAAGGGTTTTAATATTAGTACGTTTTTATTGGAAACTTACTTAATTGGTTTGTCTTACTTTGATTGTAGTTGATAACTACCACATTTCTGTTTAAACAAATCTGGTTTTGGTTTTTCATCTCATCCCTTTTGTTTTTCAGTATGTGCAACGTATAGAGAAACAGTTTCTTTTGTATGCCTACTGGATAGGCTTAGGAATTTTGTCTTCTGTTGGGCTTGGAACAGGACTGCATACGTTTTTGCTTTATCTGGTAAGAATAACTTTTAAGCAATATTAAGAGAGATTATATTTTGATTGTTTTTTTTACTTCAGACGTTAAGGTTGTAAGATTGGTATTTAATTACCTTTGTGTTTTATAAGCATTCTAACCCTCAAATCAGTGCTTTGAATTTGATTTAGAATCCTGTTTTCGTTTTCCTTTTGGGTGAGGATTTAAAAAGAGAAGGTGGGGGCAGTGTCATTCTTAAGCAAATGAGATTTTTTTCCTTAAATTAATTCAGCCAGGAAATATTTTTTCTTTCCAGATTTTGGAGTAATGATTCTCTTATGCAATTGTTTTAATAATTGAAGTTACTTAAATGCACAAAATTCCGTGTACAGCTTAGAATTAATTTGGACAGTTTACTTTCTCTTAGCAAATGAGAAACAGTGTCTTCCCTCACATCCTCAAACACTGTGTATACCCCAGTAGTCACTTTGGCATTTTTACTAATGTAGTTAGTTGATCAAGTATTATGTATATAGAGCAAAATGCTTTCCTAAACCCGTGTAAACCAAAATATAAAATGTACCCCTCCTAAAAATATGTTTTCACTTAGTTGAAATTAGAGAGGTAAAGATAGGTTTTCCTTTGAACATGGACAAATATAGCAGAGGTAGGACCAGAGGGTGAGGAGTGAGGCATCTGGGGCACAGAATTTAAATAAGCACTTCCGGGTCGTGGAAGTGTGAGGTTGCTGAGTGGGTGCCTCATTAACTTTGTGCCCTGGATGCCTCTCTTGTTTCACTGCATTCCTGTCCTGTACATTGACAGTGATACCACATTTGAAAACAGCTTGATCTTGATTGGGGAAAAACAAGTGAAAAGTTGTCACAGCAGTACTAAGTGTTGAAAACTGTTAAATACTAGCAGACACTTCCAATCTCTATGCTTCAATGAAGTCATTTCTGAAGCAGGTATAAGTATTAAGGCATTATTGTTTTGAAGGCTGCTGAGTTAATGGTCTGAAGAATAGTTTGAGAATGGGTGTTTAATACCTGGGATTTTAGAATTTTGTTCATGATTGCTTGCTGATTTTATTGCAAGTAGAGATGTAAACCCTAGGGAAGTAACCCATGTGAGTGTTTCTTTAATAACTACATCATTAGAAGTATAATGCTGCACTACAGGTTAAGACTGAGGAAAAGAAGTAATTACAGGTTACCTTTCGGTTCTTTTCTAGACCTGCTCTCTGGGTTTTCTTGGGAAACCCAGATTCAGGAACTCATTTGTAGCATTGGGTTAATTTTAAAGTATCTAAAAAGCAACCCAGACAGCAGATTCTGCTGTACCTTAAAAGGGATTCTGTTAAAACTTATAAATTGTACAATAAGTTAGAATAAAGATATTTGAAGCATGGCAGTTTTATTTTTATATCCCCGAGAAACCTTTATAAAATAACATTTACAAAATGTCTTGATGTGAAAACATTATTAGTTTGATTTCATTGATCCACATGTCCAGGAAAGAATTATAAACATACAAATAAGCATTCATTACAAAATTGATTTGAGTAAAAAATCAAGTCTTGGCCTCCATGAATAAACCAGTTATTTCTGCCCTTGATCAGAGTGCAAGTTTTAAGTTCAGAAGGAATTCTTTTTATTTAATTTTAATTTTATTTAATTTTAAGTATATTTTATTGATTATGCTATTACAGTTGTCCCAGTTTTTCCCTCTTTGCCCCAGTCCACCCAGTACCCCTCTTCCCTCCACCAGTAACCCCCCTTAGTTCATGTCCATGGGTCATACATTGTAAGTTCTTTGGCCTCTCCATTTCCTATACTATTTTTAACATATCCCTGTCTATTTTGTACCTACCAATTATGCTTCTTATGCCCTGTACCTTTCCCCCATTATCCCCCTTCTCCCTCCCCACTGATAACCCTCCAAATGATCTTTGTCTATGTGTGATTCTGTTCCTGTTCTAGTTGTTTGCTTTGTTGTTGTTTTTTTAGATTCAGTTGTTGATAGTTGTGAATTTGTTGTCATTTTAAGGTTCATAGTTTCAATCTTCTTTTTCTTAAATAAGTCCCTTTAACATTTCATTTAATAATGGCTTGGTGATGATGAACTCCTTTAACTTTACCTTGTCTGGGAAGCACTTTATCTGTCCTTCCATTCTAAATGACAGCTTTGCTGGATAGAGTGATCTGGGTTGTAGGTCCTTGTTTTTTATCACTTTGAATACTTCTTGTCAGTCCCTTCTTGCCTACAAAGTTTCTTTTGAGAAATCAGCTGATAGTCTTATGGGAACTCTTTTGTAGGTAACTGTCTGCTTTTCTCTTGCTACTTTTAAGATTCTCTATCTTTAACCTTTGGCATTTTAATTATGTGTGTTAGTGTGGTCCTCTTTTGGTCCAACTTGCTTGGGACACTTGGTGCTTCCTGGACTTGTATGTCTATTTCCTCCAACAAATTAGGGAAGTTTTCTTATATTACTTTTTCAAATAAGTTTTCAATTTCTTGCTTTTCCTCTTCTTCTGGCACCCCTATTATGATTCAGGTGTTGGCACTTTTGGAGATGTCCCAGAGTCTTCTTATACTCTCCTCATTTTTTGTTTGTTTGTTTGTTTGTTTGTTTTTGAATTCTTGTTTCTTCATTCTGTTCTGGTTGAATGTTTATTTATTCCTATGTTACAAATTTATGATTTGAATTCTGGCTTCTTACCCTTCACTGTTGGTTCCCTATGGGTTTTTCTTTATTTCACTTAGTGTAATCTTCATTTCTTCCCTTATGTTTTTGCCCTACTCTGTTTCTTTGAGCATCCTTATTACCAGTGTTTTGAACTCTGCATCTGACAGGTTGGCTATCTCTGTGTCCCTTAGTTCATTTTCTGGGGTTTTGTTCTGTTCTTTCATTTGGGCCACATAGCTTATCTCCCCACCTTTGCAGCCTCCCTTTGTTTCTGTGTATTAGGTAGAGCTGCTTTGACTCCATGTCTTTTTAAATATGCATCTTTCTGGCAAAAAGGAACTATAGTATTAGATTCTCCAAAGACTGTAACCCATAAAAGGTTAAGAACCAACCACTCTTCTAGAACTTTTTTCCTAAGTTCTCTGTACTTGGCTGCCACTAGGTGGCATTGCTGATACAACCAATGTAGTGTACTAGGAGTTTCTGTTCCGAAGATGAAACCCTCAAATAACTCTACTTAAATTAGAGAGAGATTCTGCTATTTATATGTATTTATGCCTACATAATGCCAGTTAATGAATGTGAGTGAAAATAATTTTCTTGATAGTTTTCCACATTCATTAATTACTTTAACAGCAGTCAGCCTTTCCATTCTGACATTTATTTACATATAGGGCATACTCCAGTAGCATGCTCAGTTTCAGATACAATGGCATAATTTCATCTTTTTCTTTAATATTCAAGAATATACAAGTTATTGAAGGTGATTTTGTTTGGGACTAAAGTCTTTCATTCTTATCATGGCAGGTAATAGGGCATGTTCAGAGTCAAACAGCTGGGTCTGGATGCCCTGCCAAATATTACTTATTGTGCTGTTTGGTAAATTTATTAATTTTTAAGCCTCAGTTTATTCAACTTGAAATGGGATAATAATAATAATACCTATCATAATGGTATTGAGGATTACCTGTTTTGAGGATTAATTGGAATAACAAGTGTGTACACTTTTCAGCTCAGTGGCTAGTGTATATAAGATGTTCAATAAATGATAGCAGCTATTATGATTATCATTATTCTTAACCTGATTTTATTTTTAAAAAGAGACCATTTTTAATTTACATGCTTTAGCTATTATTCTTAAGAAATTATAAGCAACATTTTCTGTGGTTGATTTGATTTTTTAATAGAATGTGTCTTTTTTTAAGGATTGTATTTATTTATTTTTAGACAGAGGGGAAGTGAGGAAGAAAGAGAGGGAGAGAAGCACCAATGTGTGGTTGCCTCTCACATGTCCCCAGCTGGGGACATGGCCTGAAACCCAGAATGTGCCCTGATTGGGAATCAAACCAGCGACCCTTTGGTTCACAGCTCATGTTCAATCCACTGAACCACGCCAGCCAGGGCCCCCAGAGTTGATTTTAATGTAGCAGTATGTCATAGCATAGTTGAAAATCACTGTTCATTTCCATTTCCAGTGATGATAGATTATGCGATTTGGATCAGCTCTCAAGTGGAAGTATCATAAAAAGGTTGATACAAATTAAAAATTTGTTTAAAGGAATCAGAGATTTTAAAAAAAGAGCAAGAATTACAAGGTCAATATTTATCTTAAAGAGGAAACCCACAGAGGTGAGACTGGCCAAGGTTATACTCCGATAAACCCATAAGGTTTGGATTAAAACCTTGAGGGGCCACACTTTAAACGTAAAGGTGAACTATATATGAAGACTGGAGCTCACGCTTAAGTCTAAGTCTGGAGGAAAATAAAATCCTAGGTGTCACATTAACTATATTTTTTTCATATATAAGTCCAGCATACAATAAAAAATAATCATATCTGAGGAGATAAGATAAATTGATCAAAACAAAGAAATAATAAAGAGTACAAAAGGGATAAATATATGGGTAAATTTAAATTAAAATTGACATTAAAAACAGTTATTTAAAATGTATAGAGAGTTAAAACATGATGTACAAATTGGATGTGGAGTAACTGCACTTATTGTGAGGTCTGCATTGTCCTGGAAAAGGTTAATTATAAAAGATTAATTTATGTAAGACTTTAATAAACCAAGATTTATATTATAATTTTCATTTTTTATCTTTTTAAAGATTTTATTTTTAGAGAGAGGGAAAGGGAGGGAGAGAAAGGAGAGAAACATCAATGTGTAGTTGCCTCTCACACGCCCCTTACTGGGGACTGGCCTGTGACCCAGGCATGTGCCCGGACTGGGAATCGAATCGGTGACCCCTTGGTTTGCAGGCCGGCCCTCAATCCACTTAACCACACCAGCCAGGGCTAATGTATCCATTCTTAATAATAAAAGATTCAAATCATCAGAAAGATACAACA